CGACTTGCAACGGGAGATAGACTTTGCAAATGGAACTTGGGTGCTCGGGTTGGATGTGTATTCTGTGGAGAAGAGTTGGAGACGCGGGATCACCTTTTTTTCTCCTGCTCCTACTCTTCTCAGATTTGGCTCTCTCTAACCAGTGGCATCCTTAATGGTGGAAACACTTCGATTTGGGGATCAATCATACCTCTCCTCCTTGATTCATCTCAGCCATACCTCCACGTATTCTCGTTAAGGTATGTGTTCCAAGCATCGATCCACAGTATATGGAGAGAACGTAATAGCAGGCGGCATGGTGAGACTGCTATACCGGCTTCGAAACTTGCAAAAATCATCGATAAAAATGTCCGCAACAGGGTTAGCTCTCTTCAGCAGTTGGGGAACTCAAGGTTTGTGGGGCGGGCTGCAGTTCTGGTTTCATACCCGTAGCTCAAGCTCAACCTAACTTTGTTTCAATTTTTATAAACACTCTCAAATAGAAGAAGCATTTATTGTAACAAACGTTTTTTTTGTGAATAAATTTTACATTCATACAAAAAAAAAAAAAAAAAAAAAAAGAAAAAAATCTAGTACTTTACCGATTCAAGAGACAAATTAGCTGATCTTTATTGTTTATAATTTTCTTCAGAAACGTTATCCACAATATACTGTGTAATTTCTCACCACTAAAGACCAAAAGGAAATGCAAAGAACATCAATGTCCTCCATGAAAGTGAGATTGAAACCAAAGCATGAAAAGTTAAAAGAGAGCGAACTGTTGTCATTTTAGCCACTGGTGCAAAAGTTTCGTTGAAGTCAATGCCTTCCTTTTGGTGATTCCCCATGACCACAAGACGTGCTTTATGGCGTTCCAGCGTACCATCAGAGTTAAATTTTAGCTTGTAAACCCATTTGCTATTTATGGCCTTTTTTTCATGTGGTAGATCTGTGATATCCCACGTGTGATTTGCTTCGAGAGCTTCAATTTCTTTTTGCATCACCTCACACCACTCTTTTATCAGAACTGCATCTTTGAAATGTTTTGGTTCCTTGCTATCAAGAATTGCTGCCATGAATGCGATGTGATTTGCTGAAAAACCAGAAGTAGTCAGAAAATCCGAGAGAGGATACAAAACCTTACCCGAGACTGTTGACGAGGCATTTGAGTTGGAGAGACCAGGGGAAGAAGCGTGAGGAGAAGAGTGTACAATGTGAGTGACATAGTCGTTGAGGTAAACAGGAGGATTTTTAGAACGATGGCCTTTTCCTAACAATTCAGGAAGACCCGGAGAAGAATTGGAATCGTGAGCATCATTAGTACGACTATGAGCCGGTCCTTTGTGTATTATAGTAGGTGAAGACGTAGAACTAATTGATTTTTCTTTAGGATTAGTCGGAACAGGATGAGAGTCCGTTGTGGTGGGAGAAGAAGGATGATCGATTATCGTATTTGCAGGATCAACCGAGCTCGCCAATGTGGAAGACGAGCCAGGCGGAGCTGCAAGTGTGGGATCGATCGATCCAGGGAGGTGATCGATCGATCGGTGGGTTGCTGGAATCATGTTCTCCAAAACCAGTGGCGATGGAGCGATCGATCCTCGGGTTGGATCGGTCGATCGATCACTATCAAGAGGACCAGTAGATACGGGATCGATCGATCCCGTAGGGTGATCGATCGATCGGTCAGAAGGAAAAGCGGAGCATTGAACGACGGGTGAAAACCAGTCATCATCGGCCACTGTAAACGGTGGAGTTAGCACAGGCTCACTTGGTTTTGTAGAGGAAGCAAAAGGAAAAATATCCTCTTGAAAGCGAACATCTCTACTAGCAAAGATTTTTCCCGTGTCAAGATCATATACACGCCAAGCTTTCTTTCCATGAGGATATCCGATGAATATGCATTTTCGGCTACGGGATGCGATTTTATCTTTGTCACGAGGGCGAATGTGAGCATAGCATAAACATCCAAAAGTGCGAAGCATTGCATAAGATGGTCGTGTGCCAAACAGAACCTCATATGGAGTCTTGCCATTGAGAACAGACGATGGCGTTCTATTTATGAGATGCGTAGCAGTAAGAATGCTTTCTCCCCAAAATTTAATGGGAAGGTTACCTTGAAAAAGACATGCACGAGCAACGTTCAAGATGTGACGGTGTTTTCGTTCAACACGTCCATTTTGTTGTGGAGTGTCAACGCATGAGGTTTGATGTAGGATACCATGTTCCTGAAAGTACGATGTAAGACACATGAATTCTGTGCCGTTGTCACTGCGGATGGAGCGGACTTCTTTGCCGAACTGACGGTGGGCCATGGCACAAAAATTCCGTATCAATGAAGAAACTTCCGACTTAGCGGTCATAAGATATGTCCAAACGGAGCGTGAGTAGTCATCAACAAGAGTTAGAAAATAAACAGCACCGGTTGTAGAAGGAGTTCGATAAGGACCCCATACGTCGCAATGAACTAAAGAAAAACATTCCGAAGTTTTATTAATGCTAACAGAAAAAATCTCTCGTGTTTGTTTAGCCCGAGGACAAACATCACAACTGTCATTCTTGTCAAAATCACGACATTCGGGTAAAGAAGACAAAACACTATTTGATGGATGGCCTAATCTACGATGCCACAGGGCTCCAGGAGAGGCAGATTCCGACGAAGCTTTGTGAGCACGAGCAGCCAACACCCCCGTAAAATAGTACACTCCCTCACGTGCTTCCCCCGCTCCAATCAAAGTCCTCGAAAAACGGTCCTGTAAGAAACACAAAGTGTCAGTGAAAAGTGCTATAGAACCCGTCTGTTTAAGTAACTTCGAAACTGAAATCAATGTGCAGTCAAAATCAGGCACAAATAACACATCGCGAAGCTTATAATTTAGACCAAGAGGGAGTAGGCCACATTTAGTAGCCCGAGAAGCTTTCCCATCGGGTTTTGTCACAGCTGATGGAATGATATCATACACATCGACCAATATAGAACAATCTCCTGTCATGTGGTGCGATGCACCCGTATCTATAATCACATCAGTAAGAAAAGTGTTACCCGATAACCGTTCAGAGGAAGTGTTTGGGCGTTGGGCCTGTAGTAGAGAGATAAGCTGCGTTATCTGGTCATTGCTGTTGGAAGATGATAGGGCTGCACGAACGTTGTTGACTCTACCGCGACCACGACCGGTACCTCTGCCTGAGCGACCACCACGTTGAGCTGATTTGTTTTCAAAACGAGGAGTAGCATCCCTATTTTCCGAGGAACCGCAAGTCCCACCTTTTTGGTCATAGTACCAGTCCGGGAATCCATGAACTAGGAAGCATTCAGTGACGTCATGGCCTTGGCGATGACAGTGAGTGCAAGAACGATCTCGCGGTTTAGGGGCAGAGATGGCAGCTACGTGTGGTGGTGTTTGTGACTTGACGGAGAAGCCAATGGCCTCCGGATTTGTTGTTTCCTTCGATCGCGCAATATCTAAGTTTTGTTCTTCCCGGATCACACGAGAATAGACTTGATTGAGAGACGGCAAAGGATCTTCGTCGGTGATTTTAGTCCGAATGTGAGAGAATCGAGGCAAATCAAGTCCAAACAAGAATTGATGAATTTTATCATCCTCACGTTCTTTGGCAGTGTCTAGAGCAGCTTCACATTGACATACACGACCGGTTTTGTAGTTTTGAAGTTCTTCCCACATTTTTGAGAGACGTCCGTAGTATTCTAGAACCGGTTGACCATCTTGTTTGCACAAAGCGATCTCATCTTTTAGAACTTGTTTTCGGACTCCATTACCAACTGAGAAACGAAGAAGGAGACTCTCCCAAAGCAACGAAGCTTCGGAGATAAAAGAAACGGTGGACCTAATCTTTGGATCGATAGATGTGCGGATCCATCCAACGATCATAGAATTTGCAGCCAACCACTGTGCACGTTCAGGATCAGCTTCTGGTTTGAGTTTTGTCCCGTCGATGAAACCAAGCTTGAACTTGGCTTGGAGAGAGTTACGAAATTCAGTAGCCCATTCAGGATAATTGTCTTCCTTCAAGACCACGGAGGAGATCAAAGATCCAGGGTTATCCGATGAACTTAAGGAGTATGGATTGGGTGGTGGTTTTACGGTGACGGCGAGTTGAGAGTCTTCACCTCCCGACATCGAAAATAGAAGAGAAGTATAGAAGATAGAAGAATAGAAGATTTATTGTTTGTAGAAGTTAAAAAAAATAAAAATTGCGATGGTCACAAGATGGGTGACGACGGCAGCAAAGAAGAAGAAGAAGAAGAGAGAAAAAATTAGGTCAGGATCTTATGCTCTGATACCATGAAATATTTTAGAATGACTTGCTTTATTCAATAGAAGAGAAGTGTATTTATACACATACAAAGTTCCTAATCTTGATAGAATCAAATCTAAGAGGATATATTTACATATATCCTAATACATAGTCTTGACCTTTATAGATAAAATATAATCAAATATTATTAGTTATTCACTATTTTAGGGAAACCCAGGTAGATATATTCCTTTACAAGGGCCACGGGTGCATGCACAAATCTTTGCACCTTTTCCGAAACATTGTCCATACATGAAATTTTCACTATCACAAACTTTTTTGCACAATAAGTCGCCATTTTGTGCACTACAGGTTTTCGAGGTTTGCTTCTTGCTTCGTACTAGTTTACATGTTTCTGAAATAGTTGGTTTCCAAGAATCTTTTTCTGAAATAATAGTATTTGAAATCACCATGGTGATCATCGCAAAAGTGATGAAACTAACAAGTCTTACACGCTTTTACCCATTTTCTTATCTTCTTAATTAATATATTTTTTTTTGTTTTCCTCTGGTTGATGGAATATTTTATGTATACAATCATTCAATTGTTATTTATAAAGAGTATTCATTTCTATTTTAAGATATAAACAAGAATACTAGTCCCCGTAATAAAAGCTTAAGGAGAGGAAGAATACAACAAATACCATGACGACATATTTCTCTCATTCCTTTGCTACTTTTAGTATATAAGAAAGAAAAGAAAAATGAAAGTGAGATTGAAATCAAAGCAAGAAAAGTTACATAGTCTTGACCTTTAAAGATCATTCGTGGTTCAGGAATTCAAACAAGAAAAAGATGGGATAACCTACTAAACCTTACTCTAACTACGATTTTTCATGAGTACAGATACTTCCTACATTAAGGTTCAATGAAACAACGGTCATGTGCTCACCAGCATCTTCAATGTCCTCCATGAAAGTGAGAATGAAATCAAAGCAAGAAATATTGTAAAATGTTCAATGAAACAACGCTCATGTGCTGCACGTCAATCAATGATAACTTGACATGTGGGAGAAAGCTTTGTGGATGTAAGAAGCTTCTGGTAGCTCTCAAAGTCTTGCTTCTTGATAGAATAATATGTGAAACTTAGAGTCAGTTTCTTTAAGACTGCTGAATTCTCAAGAAAGTAATTCACTAGTTTAATCCCACTTTTCTCCTTGAATATCAGTTCTTGAATCTTAACATACTCGAGAGTCGATATCAAACACTGAGGCACTTTTTGAAAGTCGATATTCTCTCGCTTAAAAGGAAGCTCCTGCGAGAAAAAAGAACAAGATGAGTTTACAATATGTTTCAAAAATGTTCTTTAGCCAAATCCTAGATTCTTCCCAAGATGAGGTTTTTCGGATTTGGACAGCTCTCTAGAAAGGTTGGCAATAGTTGTAACGATGAGCTGGAGAATGAAGCCTGCAAATGATATAAGTTATGGAATTGGAGAATGGGTCCCAGTTTGGAGTAACAATAAAGGATACATGTGAGAATTGTTTCATAGCGAACTAAATTATATACGCATCACAGAGTATATATACTTATACCTTTAAAGTCGAGTAACAGATGGTCATATGTCTTACACTCGATATCCCAGTTAAAAAATCACTGATAATATCTCTATTCCTTAAATACTCTGGTGCCAGAAGACTGCCATACACAACATTATATTTGGTATTGATGTCGATAGTAAACAAAGAACTCAGGTTCTTTACCATAATTCTATCAAATAGACTCTCATAACATGTCATATACTTGAGTCTTGGAGCATTAATCTCAACTGAAAAATCTGTACCACCTGTATTATCTATGGCAAAATATAAACGAAGGCTTTCCATAGTCTGAGAGCTCACACGCAAAAACAGCAGAACATCTTGACTCAAAATATTAAAAAGCCTAACCAGCTTAAGATCTTCAAGAACAGGACATCCTGATATAAGCTTCTCCACATCCAAAGGACCATCCTCACCGTAACAAACGTTGCACAGATGCATGATCTTGAGACAAGGTAGAGAAACAACAAACTCTGGATTTTTTAACTCTACGTTATAAAGCGACAAAGAGACCAATGTCTTGCTCTTGTAAATGTTCTCACGCATGAAATTATATCTTTTGCAACTATTCATAAAGACATCCAAGTGTTGAATTCCACGATCAACCACTGTACCGGTCAGGTCCATGAATCGATCTCGATAACCATTGCATTCGTCATACATTATCTTGAACTTTTGCAGGTGTGACCCGCAGTTAAACTCCATAAATCTGCCCATAAACCTTGCGAAGCCTTCTTCGTAAGGATAGGGGAAGTCAAGGGTGCATAATTCAAGTCCAGGAACATTTAACCAAAGACTTCTCCATCTCTTCGATAAAACGCTTGTCTTAACAGAATCTTCGGTCCGGAGGTCTAAGAGTATCTGAGTTAGTAAAGAATCCGGCAACTCGCTGATATAATCGCACCCCATCCCTAGAACAAAACGACCTCAAAAACAAATTCTGTTGGAAGGTTCAAAGTCGATCAAAATCACTTACAAACGTACAGACCAAGGAGGATTGAAGAACTAACCTTCTCCGATGATTTTATTATCGAGAATTCGAGATATATCACTTAATTTTAGGGTTCAAAGTCGATCAAAATCGATTTGCCTATATCTATCGATTTTTGTATATCGTTTCTAATTCTTGTCCACCAAAAATCTGTTGTTTCAAAGGTGCACAAGATTTTTTGTCCACCATATATCTTTCCAATCTGTTGTTTCAAAGGTGGACAATATTTCTTGTCTACCAAAAATTTTCGCTTCGAAGTCTTGTCCACCATTATGGCACATTTGGAAAGACAAATGTTTTGTGACAATTTCTGTAAGTTTTGCTACAGTATATGACACATTAGACCAAAATCCCTATTTTGTTCTCTACCGATCCATTTGTTCTATGTAAATTTTTTTGTAGTTTATCTATTCAGAAGACAAATTAGCTGTTTTAAAATAATAATAAAAAATCTTCTTAGGAAACAATGTCCAAAATATAATCAGTATAATGTGATCATTGCCAAAAAGCATATCTAACCATAAAGACCAAAAGGCAATACAAAGATCATCAATGTCCATGAAACGAAGTTGTATAATCTTCAATGTCCTCCAAGAAAACTAAGATTAAAGTCTAATTGCGATTTTCATGAGAAAAATAAGTCAATGAAACAACGGTCATGTGCTTAGCAGCATAATCATCTACATGTCAAACAATGATAACTTGACATGTGGGAGAAAGCTTTGTTGATGTAAGAAGCTTCTTGCAGCTCTCTAGCTCTAAAGAAGAAGAATCTGTGAAACTTAGAGTCAGTTTCTTGAGGATTGCTGAATTCTCAAGAAAGTAATTCACTAGTTTAACCCCAGTTTCATCTCTTATCATCCCCTTCTTAATCTCAACATACTCCAGTGTTGATATCAAACAACGATGCAAATTGGTAAAGTCTATTTGCCCCAGCTTTGATGAACCACGAAAGTCCTGTAAAAATAAACAAGACTACTATAGTTTTGTTTGCTCAAAAAAAAAAAAAAAATAGAGTACTATAGTTTTGTTTCAATAATTAACGGTCTTCGCCAAATCACAGATTGGAGCAGATTTTTACCAAAATGAGGGTTTTCAGATTTGGAGAGCTTTCAAGAAAGGCCGACAATAGTTGTAGCGATGATCGGCTGACCTCAGCCTCCAAATAATACAAGTTAAGGAATTTGGGAATCGGTCCGAAGTTGTAATTAGGGTAAAGCCTCTGCATGAAAAATAAAAGGATACGATATGTCAGATAATTGTCATAGAGAATTAATACATTAGATATGCATCAGAGAGTATATAATATATACCTCTAGAATAGGCAGGTCGATTATCATATGTCTTACACTAGATATGCCGGTAAAAAAATCACAAAATTTTTTAAAGTCCTTAGGTCTCGATGGAATATATTTGGTACGAATGTTGATCATGAACAAGGAGCTCAGGTTCTTTACCACAATGTTATCAGATTGAATGTCTTTAACAGTCATATACTTGAGTCGTGGAGCATCAATCTCAACTGAAAAATCTGTATCACCCTTATATGTCGCAAAATATAAACCAAGGTTTTTCAGAGTCTGAGAGCTCACACGCAGAAACAGCAAAACTTTGTGAGTCAAAGTATCAAAAGGCCTAATCAGCTTAAGATCTTCAAGAACAGGACATCCTGAGATGAGCTTCTCCACAACCAAAGGACCATCCTCACCGCGACAAACTCTGCCTAGACGCATGATCTTGAGATAAGGTAGAGAAACAACAAACTTTGGATTCTTTAACTCTACATTGAAAAGGTTCAAAAAGACCAATGTCTTGCTCTTGTAAATGTTCTCACGCAAGAAACCATATCTTTTGACAGAAGAACAATAACAAACATCCAAATGTTGAATTCCACGATCAACAACTGTACAGATCAACTCCATGAGTTGATCTTGTTTGCCAGTGTACCGTATCTTGAACTTTTGCAGGTGTGACCCGCAGTTAAACTCCATAAATCTGTCCATAAACCTTTTGAAGCCTTCTTCGTATGGATTGGGGAAGGCAAGGGAGCATAATTCAAGTCCAGGAACGTTTAACCAAAGATTTCTCCATCTCTTGGATAAAACGCTTGTCTTAACAGAATCTTCGGTCCGAAGGTTTAAGAGTATTTGTGTTAGCAAAGAATCCGGCAATTCGCTGATATAATCGCAATCCATCCCTAGAGCATGAACAACAACAACAACATCAAAATCTATTTCTAGGGCGATGAGTTTCTCAATCTTCTTTCAATTTCTATCAAAATTTCATATAAACATGAACAAAAAACATTTGGATAAAAACTTCTTACGTAACGTACAATCGAAGATATCTCCAAGTGAAAAACTTACCGTCACGGTCGATTTGATTTGACAGAATATTATCGCCAACTGATAACTGATATAGAGAGATGATTGTCAAATGATCGATCGGGTTCGGGATGTTTGCATGTAGTATTTGTAGTTGTCGGGCAAAATACTACAAACACGTGTTAATGAAAGTTATCAAAACGTGAGAATTAGTTGATGTTAGGGCTGGGACACGTGTTCAGCTATAGAGATGAAGGTTTCAAAGCATTGCCGACTGACAAATGTTTTTTTTTTTGGTTTTAATGTTAAGATTTCATTGCATACTGATTTTTTTTGTTCTAATATGAAGATTTCATTCCATAATCTGTTTTTTTTTTTTTTTTAATATGAAGATTTCATTCCATATAAATTTTTTTTCTTGTTTTAATGTGAAGATTTCATTGCATACATATATTTTTTTTTTTTGGTTTTAATGTGGAGATTTCATTACATAAAGATTATTTTGTACTTTTTTTCTAATATGAAGATTTCATTCGATAAAGATTTCTTTTGTTCTTTTTTTACTAAGAATATAAATATTTCATAAAAATGAAAAAATTTATGAGTTACACGAGGCATATCCTATACTTTGGTCCCATGACCAAAAAGATAAAACATGGAAATAAAATCAATCAGTCCATTGACATCAACAAAAACAGTGACATTTTTGTTCTTTGTCTTAATGTGAAGATTTCATTCGATAAATAATTTTTTTTTCCCGACTGACCATCCTCCTGTGCCGCCTAAGAGCTCGATCACCGCCAATGAGAGTCATCCAAAACCAACAGTCGTCTCAAACACCAGCAGCTAAGATGGCTAGATCTTCCTCTTCATCATCGTGAATTAGCTAATTACTAAACATATAAGAGAAAATTAGGGCAAATAGAAGAAATCTTTCATCTTCTTCTGGTTGTGGATCTCTTGGAGGGATTAGGTGAAGTCGATTGGAAACAGAAGAAATAGATCAATGGCTATAAATATACATATGTTTTGAACATCTATATCACTGTGAATGTGAATTCTTATATTTTTGATACCAAAAAAAAATGTGAATTCTTATTTTCTTCTTATAACAAGGCATGCAACCCATTAATCATATGAAACATTATCCAAATATAGTGATTCAAGTGATCATACTTGTCAATAAGCATATCTAATCATAAAAGACCATAAGGTAATGCAGAGATCATCAATATGTCCTCCATGAAACTGAGATTTAAATGAAAACAAAAAAAAAAAAAGATTGTAAAATTTTGACCTTAACTTAAAGCATATAAGATGGTTTAAAGAATCCAAACCGACTATGATGAAAATTCCCACGGAAAAAACAAGCTGGAGAATGCAGCCTGCTGCCTGCAACTAATACATTTTGTGAAATTTGGGAATCAGTCCCAGTTTGGAATAAGATAAAGCTCATGCAAGAAGAATGATTCAACCAATGTTGTTCCATCGAAGATTGTTGCTTCTGTATTTTCCTCAGATCACACACCATGTGGTTGCCATTCATCCTTCATCTAATCCAACCATTTCAGAGATTAAACTTGGTTCTGCCTCCACTGTTAGTCTGTTACTTCTCCCTTGCTTCCTCATTTGGTCTATAATGCTAATTTTCAAACAAAATACACTCACATAAAGGAGAATCTGGAGAAACATAGGGAGACAACAAATTTGGTTTGCTGGATCTTGATCTAGAATGTACGGCACAACAGATCTTAAGGGAAAGGCTCGTGAAAGCTGCACAAAAGTTAAAGAATATGTGGACGGTTGTAGGTCGTGGCAAACGAAGTCATGGTGGTCGCGGTAACAATCATTAGAGACCTCAGGTCAATCATCACTATCTCTCTACCTCAGGTCTCTCCTCCTACTTTTAAACTCTATATGATCCAAAAGTTATATCCTGTACTTGTTTTTCTTTTTATTTTACTTCTAATCAATTAGCAAACAAAAGAACAAAAAAAATGAAAGTAATAACATGTGAGAAATTTTCATAGAGAATTAAAATACGTTAAATTATATATGCATGTATATACATATTTACATTGAGAGTAGGCTGAGAGATGATCATGTTTTATATACTGGTTAAAAAAGTTAACGGATAATATGTTTCTTGCCTAAATCATCCTATTCCAAACTGCTGCCAAACGTAACATTAAAGTCAGTATCAAGGTTTATATTTTGACCAAGGAACTCAGATTCCTTATCAGTTATCACAATCACATCAGGTTAATCATCTTTGAAACTCATATACTCGAGTCATGGAGCATCAATCCCAACGGAAAAAATCTGTAGTATTCTCAAACGTTAAAAAACATCACAAACTGAAGCATTTCAAAAAGCACCAAAAGTTTTATAATCTTGACCTTTAAAGCATATAAGAGTATAAGATCAATCCAAATAGAACTAAGATGAGCAAACCTAATAAACCATGTCTATAAGATGAGCAATTCTTACACTCATATGCTAACAAGCATCATCAGCTGCATGTCAATCAATGATAACTTGACATGTAGGAGAAAGCTTCGTAGATGTAAAAAGCTTCTTGTAGCTCTCTGACTCTTCGTTGGCCATAGGAGAATCCGTAAAACTCAGATTGAGTTTCTTGAGTACTGCTGAATTCTCAAGAAAGTAATTTACTAGTTTAATCCCAGTTTCAACTTTCATTTTTAGTTTCTTAATCTCAACATATTCAACGTCGATATTAAACACCGAGGCACGGTTGTAAAGTCGATTTTCTCTGGCTCCTCTATAACCGAATAATTCTGCGAAATAAAACAAGCTGATGTTACAATAAATTTCAACAATCTTTAGCCACATATTCAAAAAAGATTTTTACCAAGATGAGGTTTTTCAAATTTGGGCAGCTGTCAAGAAAGTCTGGCAGCAGTTGTAACGAGGAGCTAGAGAATGCAGCCTGCAAATGAGATAGGTTATGGAATCTGGGAATCGGTTCGAGTTTCGAGTAATGATAAAGCACCTGCAAGAAGAATAAAATTGATAGAGGTGAAAATCTGTTCATAGAGAATTACACAGTTAGATATTCACATATTATATATATAAAAATAAATATACCTCCGAAGTAGGCTGAGAGATGATCATATGTCTCACACTCGAAATACCTGTGAGAAAACCGCGGATAACATCTCTCTTCCTTAAATCCTCCGACTCCAAAGGACTGCCGCCAAATTCGACATTAAAATTCAGTGTCAAGATCTATCTTGAACAAGGAACTCAGATTCTTAACCAAGATTTTATCAGATTGACTATCTCTAAAACTCATGTACTTAAGTTCCGGAGCATCAATCTCAACCGAAAAATAGGTAGTAGGCATTCCCCATTTAAACATATAATGGAAGATCTTCAGAGTCTGAGATTTCACACGCAAAACTGGCATAGTTTCTAGATCCTCATAGTAAATCCTTACAACGGTAAGATCTTCAAGAACAGAACATCCAGAGATGAGCTTCTCCGCAATCAAAGGACCATCCTCACCGTAACAAATGTTATCTAGATGCATGATCTTGAGACAAGGTAGAGAAACAACAATATCTTGATTTTCAAGCTCTACATTTGCAAGCCTTAAAGACACCAATGTTTTGCTCTGGAACATGTTCAAAGGCATGGTATCAATGACAAACAGAACATTCTTAGCCTCAACATCAAGAACTCGAACCCCGCGATCAACCGCTGTGGCGATCCAATCGCTACTCACATTGTATTTGAAGTGATCATTCTTTATCTTGAACTTTTGCAGATGTGACCCGAGGTTAAACTCCATAAATGTTTCGATGAAGCTCGTCAAGACTTCTTGATGAAGAGGGAGATAATCACTGACCTTTAGGTCAAGTCCAGGAACACATAACCAAAGGTTTCTCCATCGAGTCGATAAAACACCTGTCTTGATCGAATCTTTGGTCGGAAGGTCCAAGAGTATCTTAGTTAACAAATAATCCGGAAGTCCGCTGATTCTATCGTTCCCCATCACAAAACCCTAAAAGTTTCCAAACCCTAAAATCAAATGGTCTTTATTAAAATCAAAGGCGTTGAATTCCTCAAACTCGTCCCAGTTTCTAGGGTTTAAGAGTCAGATTTATATAAAACGTAACAAGCAATAAAGGAATCTGAGGAGAAGGAACTCACCGTCGATTTGATTCTCCGGAGTCTTCGTTGTCGGAACAATTTTGAGAAAAGGCCTTGATTCTTTGTAGAGTTTACAATACTGTAGTTCTCAAAAAACCATTTGATTTTACACATTCAAGATTTTACACAAATGGTTTTTATAGATTTTTTTTTTACTTTCTACCAATTATTGAACAAAAAACCCATTCTATAGGGATTTTTGGGGGAAATTTTTTATTTTATTTAATTAATTTAACCTAAAACTAACAAGTCTTACACTTTTACCCATTTCTTATCTTCTTAATATACTTTTTTTCGGTTTTTTTTTTCTCTGGTTTGATGGAATATTTTATGTATACAATCATTCAATTGTTATTTATAAAGATTTTTCATAAAAAAAAGGATGGGATAACCTACTAAACCTTACTCTCTAACTGCGATTTTTTTTGGTTAATTAAGGTTCAATGAAACAACGGTCATGTGCTCACCAACATCTTCAGTGTCCTCCATGAAAGTGAGAATGAAATCAAAGCAAGAAATATTGTAAAATGTTCAATGAAACAACGCTCATGTGCTCACCAGCATCATCAACTGCACGTCAATCAATGATAACTTGACATGTGGGAGAAAGCTTTGTGGATGTAAGAAGCTTCTTGTAGCTCTCAAGGTCTTGCTTCTTCATAGAATAATATTTGAAACTTAGAGTCAGTTTCTTTAAGACTGCTGAATTCTCAAGAAAGTAATTCACTAGTTTAATCCCACTTTTCTCCTTCAATATCAGTTCTTGAATCTTAATATACTCGAGAGTCGATATCAAACACTGAGGCACTTTTTGAAAGTCGATATTCTCTTGTTTAATAGGAAACTCCTGCGAGAAAAAGAACAAGCTGAGTTTACAATATGATAGAAGCAGTTAATAGCATGAATAATATCTACTTGAGTTTCAGCTTAACCAAGTTATTATGAGGGTAAACCATGTTTTAGCTTTGGTTTAGCATTCTTGGTTTGGTCTATGTCTATATACAATGTCAGAGAGATTTGGGGAGAGTTTATCGAGTATTTGGTGAGGAATCTTAGGGGGAGTGGGAGGAGCTCCATTATCAAATTCCTCGAGTCCTTGTAATTCTCGTCTTATCATCTAATGAATTATCAGTTTGTATAAGCTACTCATATCACAATATGTTTCAACTATGTTCTTTAGCCAATATTCTTACCAAGATGAGGTTTTTCAGATTTGGGCAGCTCTCTAGAAAGGTTGGCAATAGTTGTAACGAGGAGCTGGAGAACGAAGCCTGCAAATAATATAAGTTATGGAATTGGAGAATAGATCCCAGTTTGGAGTAACAATAAAGCACCTACAAGAAGAATGAAAAGGATACATGTGAGAATTATTTCATAGCGAACTAAATTATATCCGCATCACAGAGTATATATACTTATACCTTTAAAGTCGAGTAACCGATGATCATATGTCTTACACTCGATATCCCAGTTAAAAAATCACTAATAATATCTCTATTCCTTAAATACTCTGGTGCCAGAAGACTGCCATAATCAACATTATATTTGGTATTAATGTCGAGAGTAAACAAAGAACTTAGGTTCTTTACCTTAATACTATCAAATAGACACTCATAACATCCCATATACTTGAGTCTTGGAGCATCAATCTGAACTGAAAAATCTTCACCACAATTGCCAAAATTTAAACGAAGACTTTTCAGAGTCTGAGAGCTCACACGTAGAACTTTTTGAGTCAAAATATCAAAAGGCATAACCAACTTAAGATCTTCAAGAACAGGACATCCTGAGATGAGCTTCTCCACAACCAAAGGACCATCCTCACCATCACAAACTTTGCACAGATGCATGATCTTGAGACAAGGTAGAAAAACACCAGACTCTGGATTCTTTAACTCTACCTTATAAAGCTTCAAAAAGACCAATGTCTTGCTCTTGTAAATGTTCTGACGTAAGAAATCATCTCTTTTGGAAGTATTCATAAAAACTTCAAAGTGTTGAATTCCACGATCAACCACTGTACCGATCAGGTCCATGAATCGATCTCGATAACCATTGCATTCGAAATACATTATCTTGAACTTTTGCAGGTGTGAGCCGCAGTTAAACTCCATAAATCTGCCCATAAACCCTGCGAAGCCTTTGTCATAAGGATAGGGGAAGTCAAGGGAGCATAATTCAAGTCCAGGAACATTTAACCAAAGATTTCTCCATCTCTTCGATAAAACGCTTGTCTTAACAGAATCTTTGGTGGTAAGGTTTAAGAGAATCTGAGTTAGCAAAGAATCCGGCAATTCGCTGATAAAATCGCACTCCTCCATCCCTAGAGCATGAGCAACAACATAAATATCAAAATTGATTCCTTAGGCGATGAGTTTCTCAATTTTTATCCCAAATTTTAGGGTTCGCAGTCGGTCAAAAATTCTTACGTAATCCAAGGAGAAATGAAGAACTAACCTTCTCCGTAGATATGATATGAGGGAAGATTATCGCCGGAGATTCCGCCAATTGATCACTGATAATTAGAGAGATCGGGTTCGAGAAATCCTCCTACTAGGGTATTTATTTTATTTTCGGGTTTGGGCCCAAAGAGCCACATAAAAAATAATTTCATAAACCTAGCAGGACCAAACCAAGTTACTTGAGGTTTACGGTAAACCTTATTCAAACCTGTAAAATAATAATGTCGGCCAAAAAATGAAGTAGTATAAACAACCATGAGCCAAAGCCAATTGGGAAGAAGAGAATGACAATTGAGCCAATGTAGAGCTGCTGTATGAATGCGGTCAATGCAGGATCGGAGTTAATTGCTTCTTGCTCGAATCTGACTGTCAAAAATTGGTCGGGGCTATAAATATCCGATCGGTTCTGCTGGAAGTTCATGGGATCATCTCTGATATCTTTCTCAGTATTAATCGCTTTTCTTCGTTTATTTGTCGTTTTATCCCTCGGTCAACTAATGTTGTGGCTGATTCTCTAGTTAAGCATTGTTTTAGTTTGTACGGACAGAACAATAATTGTTGAGAAATAAATATACTTGGGGTGCACACAAAAAAAAAAAAAAAAAAAGATACAACAAATACCATGACGACATATTTCTCTCATTCCTTTGCTACTTTTAGTATATAAGAAAGAAAAGATAAATGAAAGTGAGATTGAAATCAAAGCAAGAAAAGTTACATAGTCTTGACCTTTAATGACCATTTGTGGCTAAGGAATTCAAACAAGAATGACCTACTAAAAATGACCATTTGTTTACAGATACTTCCTACACTAAGGTTCAATGAAACAACGCTCATGTGCTCACCAGCATCATCCGCTTCACGTCAGTCAATGATAACTTGACATGTGGGAGAAAGCCTTGTGGATGTAAGAAGCTTCGTGTAGCTCTCATGGTCTTCTTGCTTATTCGTAGAATAATATATGAAACTTAGAGTCAGTTTCTTTAAGACTGCTGAATTCTCAAGAAAGTAATTCGCTAGTTTAATCCCACGTTTCCCCTTCAACATCACTTGTTTAATCTGAACATACTCGAGAGTCGATATCAAACACTGAGGCACTTTTTGAAAGTCGATATTCTCTCGCTTAAAAGGAAGCTCCTGCGAGAAAAAAGAACAAGATGAGTTTACAATATGTTTCAACAATGTTCTATAGCCAAATCCCAGATCCAAGAAAATTCTTACCAAGATGAGATTTTTTAGATTTGGGCAGCTCTCAAGAAAGGTTGGCAATAGTTGTAACGATGAGTTGGAGAAAAACGCCTGCAAATGATATAAGTTATGGAATCGGGGAATCGGTCCCCGTTTGGAATAACGATAAAGAACCTGCAAGAAGAATGAAAAGGATACATGTGAGAATTTTTTCATAGAGAATTACTACACTAACTCTTTATATATATGCATCAGATCAGAGAGTATATATATTTTATACCTTTAAAGTCCTCTCCCAGATGATCATATGTCTTACACTAGATATCCCGGTTAAAAAATCACGGAAAATATTAAAATCAAAATGTCTCAAAGGATGCAATTTGGAACCAATGTCGATCCTGAACAAGGAACTAAGTTTCTTTACCATAATGCTATCCGAGTGACACTGTTCAACAGTCATATACTTGAGTTGTGGAGTATCAATCTCAACTGAAAAATCTGTACCCCTCGTATTGATAAAAGGTGTAAAAGACACTTGAAGGCTTTTCAGTGTCTGAGACCTTATACGCAGAAACAGCAGAACTTTTTGATTCAAAATACCAAAAGGCCTAAGCAGTTGAAGATCTTCAAGAACAGGACATCCTGAGATGAGCTTCTCCACAACAATAGGACCATCCTCACCGTAACAAACGTTGCATAGACGCATGATCTTGAGACAAGGTAGAGAAACAACAAACTCTGGTTTCTTTAACTCTATATTTACAAGGTTCAAAGAGACCAATGTCTTGCTCTTGTAAATGTTCTGGCGTATGAAATCATTTCTGTTGCAAGTATACATTAAAACATCCAAGTGTTGAATTCCACGATCAACCACTGTACCGATCAGGTCCATGAATCGATCTCGATAGCCATTGCATTCGAAATAAGTTATCTCGAACTTTTCCAAGTGTGACTGGCAGTTAAACTCCATAAATCTGTCCATAAACCTTGCGAAGCCTTCTTCACAAGGATTGGGGAATTCACTGGTGCGTAATTTAAGTCCAGGAACATCTGGTCGATAAAACGCTTGTCTTAACAGAATCTTCGGTCTGAAGGTTTAAGAGAATCTGAGTTAGTAAAGAATCCGGCAATTCGCTGATATAATCGTATTCCTCCATCCCTAGAGTATGAGGAACAACATCAATATCAAAATTGATTCCTAAGGCGATGAGTTTCTCAAATTTTTATCCCAAATTCTAGGGTTCAAAGTCGGTCAAAATTTCTTACGTAATCCAAGGAGAAATGAAAGACTAACCGTCTCCGTAGATTTGATATGACGGTAGATTATCGCTGGAGATTCCGCCAATTGATAACTGATAATTAGAGAGATGATCGTTAAATCGATCGGTTTCCAGAAATCCTACTAGGATTTTTATTTTATTTCGGGTTTGGGCCAAAAGTGCCACATAAAAAAAAACATAAACCTAGCCGGACCAAGCCAAGTTACTTGAGGTTTACTGTAAACATTACGCAAACCTGTAAAATAATAATGTCGGCCAAAAATTGAAATAGTATAAACAACCATGAGCCAAAGTCATTTTATAAAAATAAAAAAAAAAACCATGAGCCAAAGCCAATTGGGAAGAAGAGAATGACAATCGAGCCTATGCTTATTCAATCAATAGTTGAATATATCTTCTTTTTCTTTGAGTCCAAAGTTAGAATCTTTTTTTTTTTTCCAGCTAAAAGCCTTTTCATTAATTTGAAAGTGTAATTACAGAGATGTTATACAAAATTAATGTAACACAAATTATTACATACGCAAATTAATGTATACGCCATATACTGAGAAAAATACATTAGAAGGGAATTTGACGATGCTTTCTGAAAAATAGACTTACTCGCTAACCGATCATCAGATCCGTGATTATCCAACTTCATATTTGCTTTTCCTTGACACGATTTGAATGCAGCATCACTTGGCTGAACTTTCTTTTTACTAACCGCAGCTTTAAACCCGATGTGTAAATATGTAATTCTAAAATATAGACAAAATGGTACCAAAACTTCCGTACCAAAGTCCTTATGATATATATTGACTCTGTACTCTTCTTCCACAAAATCACTTAGCTTTTTGCCGGCGAGATTCTCCAATATTATCATCCGTGTCTCCTTCGTCCCAAAAGTTTGAGAAATCGGTTCTAGTTTCTCCATATATGTGACGTGAATTATGCTATTGCCTCTCATAAACTTTGGAATAATCTCTTCCAAAGTCTCTGCAATATTCCCCTGCTCCTTAAGATTAAAAGCAAGGAGTAACGTCACAATCTTAAAGAAACTCTCGGTGAAGGAAAAGTTAGAATCTTTTACGATATATAACTAACTAGTATTATGCCCCTGCTAAATGTTATTGTGAAAATTTTAGTAATTTTTGTTAATATAAAGTATTAAAAAATAAGAAATTATGATGTATGAAAGTGGGAAGTTCATTTGATTATGGTTGAAAAGAAAGAAAAGTGGGATCGTGGTTTCATTTAAAAAATTTTGTAGTTTAGAAAAAACCAGTTTTCGATAGATAAAAGTGTGGAAAAAAACTAAAATAATGTTTTTTTAATTTTACCGGAAAAAAAAAAGATTTTATTTTTTAAAAATTGTAGATAACACGTGTCACTCTGAGAATTGCCGATTGACTTCTGTTTCATATAATAAAGAATTTTTTATGGGAAAAAAACCCGAAAAATACCTCATTTATTTTTTATTTGGACGTTTAATACCTAACTTTTTTTGTTGGAAGAAAAATACCTCAGTTAATTATATTCGGTCGAAAAATACCTTGTCTTGAAATTGTTGGTAGATTCAAACCTCTGATTTAACGGTCGTTAACGGACGTTACGGTATAAGTAAACGATGTTAAATTATAACAGAAAAATAGCCGAAAAATACTCAATCTATTTACTTTTGGAATTTTAATACCCCAATTTTTTGGTTAGAAAAAAAATACCTCATTTAAAATGTCTTTGGCTAAAAATACTTCATTTTGAATCATTGGTGGATTCAAGTCTGCGACTTAACAATCGTTAACGGATATTACAAAATCATTTAACCATGTGTATATAAATAAATATATAAAATTTTTATTCAAAATTTTACAAATATATTGGTGTGGTCTAGTGGTAACAAGTGTTATCTCCACTTTTACCTAAATTCTTCTCCACTTCCGCAACTAAGCTACTCCACGACCACAAAAATGACAAATCCATCGTCGTCGTCATCTTTGTCTCAATCTCTCATGTGTTAATTGTATTTAAATTTAAATTTGTAGGAGTGAAGAAAATGATGTATTTAAATTTGTATGACATTCATTAAAGAAAATAGAACATCAAAAAAAGTTCTATGCAAGTTAAATAACATACGTGTTACCACCAGATTAAGCAATATATTTGTTAAAGTTCGTATACACTATTGTATATATTTATTATTACCTGGGAAGTCAAAAATTTAACGCAGTTTACTAGATCCCTATAACGACCCGTAATTGGCTGTTTAGTCACGGGATTTGAATCTACTAACAATTCAAAAATAAGGTATTTTTAGACAAAAATATTTAAATGAGGTATTTTTATTCCAACCAAAAAATTGAGGTATTAAAAGTCTAGAAATAAACAGATGAAGTATTTTTCGGCTATTTTTTCGTTATAATTTAACGTCGTTTACTGATACTGTAACGTCCGTTAAAGACTGTAAAATCAGAGGTTTGAATCTACTAACAATTTAAAGATAAGATATTTTTCGACCGAATATAATTATATGAGGTATTTTTCTTCCAATAAAAAAAATTTAGGTATTAAACGTCCAAATAAAAAATAGATGAAGTATTTTTCGGGCTTTTTCCCATTTTTTAAGTTGGAAACTTCATGTCAATAGTTGAAAGTGTTTTTTTTTTTTGGTCTGTTCTTACTTCTGAAAAGAAACATACATCACCATTTTTTCAATAACTTAATCATAAATTTTAAACATAGTTTAAAAGTTCAAGTTTGTAATACTGCTTCTACCGTGTAATAACCCAGATTCAAACTCTTATCAAATCCGGCTTAAAGAGTCAAATGATTTGAAAACTTAATCCGCAAAGTAAATAACCGTGAGAAGAATTCTTATTTATCTTTAAACAATAGTCATTATTAGGCCTGGGCATATTACCCGAACCCGAAGAATCGAACCGAACCCGACCCGAAAAACCCGATCCGAATCCAAATCCGAAGTTTTAAAATACCCGAACGGGTTCTAAACTTCACAACCCGAAAATCAAAACCCGAACCCTAACCCGAACAAGTACCTCAACATACCCGAAATATAAGTACATAGTTATAATATATTAGTAATATTTATACTTGTAAAAATTTAAGTGCCTAAATTATTTGGATGTTAAGAATTTTTGGGTGTTTTAGTTACTTTTGGCTAGATTCGGTTAAAAAAATACTTGGGTTTTATAGATTTTTGAGTATTTTTCAATACTTTGCAAAGAGTCAGATACAAAATTTTTAATATTTGGATACTTCGGGTAAACCCGAATCCGAACCCGAAATATCCGATCTGAACCCGACCCGAACCCGAAGTTTTAAAATACCCGAACGGGTTTTAGTTTTTTATACCCGAAAAACCCGAACCCAAAAAACCCGACCCGAATCCGATCCGAATATCCGAACGCCCAGGCCTAGTCATTATGGATGTTATAAATTCTTATTTTCTACTTCAACGACACACTTGTCCATGTTAGAAAATATAGCACTGAACCGATTCAGCAAAGAAGTTCGATGACTATCCAAAACAATCAAATGCATATATTAATTGGCTTTTAACCATATGAATATTCCATAATTGAAGAATCCAAAAAGAAAAATGATCAAAAAGACAATATTATCACCCGAGATTTTAATTCCCAAGTTAAACCTAAAATAGTAAAACACCTTGTCTATAAATGCAACTTTCATAAGAATAGATAAACCGAGATTAAAGCAAGAAAAGTTGAATAATTTGACCTTTAAGCATATTATAAGATCAAAACTTGACACCCACGAGATCGTTTTGTGGAGGTAAGAAGCTGCATGTAGATCTCTGACTCTTGGTTGGTCATGGGAGAATCTATGAAACTTAGAGTCAGTTTCTTTAGGACTGCTGAATTCTCAAGAAAGTAGTTCACCAATTTAATCCCAGTTTCCTCCCTCATAGTAAGTTCTTTAATCTCAACATATTCCAACGTCAATATTAAACACTGAGGCACATTTGTAAAGTCGATTTGCTCTGGCTCCGCTGAAACAGAATAGTCCTGGAAACAGACAAGCTGAGTTTACGCTATATTTCATCAATGTTCTAAATTGTAGGCAAATCACATATTCAAACACATTCTTACCAAGATGAGGTTTTTAAGATTTGGGCAGATTTCAAGGAAGTCGGACAATAGTGGTAACAATAAGCTGGAGAACGCAGCCCGCAAATGATATAAGTTATGGAATTTTGGAAGCGGTCCGAGTTTGGAATATCGATAAAGCACCTGCAAGAATAATGAAAATCATACATGTGAGAAATTAAAGTACATTTTACTAATGTTAAAATACAATGCATTAGAGACTTCAAATATATAGATACCTCCAGAGTAGGATGGGAGATGATCATATGTTTTACACTTGAAATACCGGTAAGAAAATCTCGGATAATATCTCTCTTGGTCAAGTCCTCCGGTTCCAAAGGACTGCCGAGGCCAAACTTGAGATTAAATTCAGTATCAAGGTCTATCTTGACCAAGGAGCTCAAATTCTTTACAACGATTCTATCAGATTGACTATCTCTAAAGCTCATGTACTTAAGTCCTGGAGCATCAATCTCGACCGAAAAATCTGTACTACCCATTTCCCAATCAAATGTTAAACGGAAGGTCTTCAAAGTTTGAGACCTCACAAGCAGAAAGTTGAAAAAATCTTCATGGTTTCTTACAATGGTAAGATCTTCAAGAACAGGACAGCTTGAGAGGAGCTTCTCCACAATCAAAGGACTATAAAAAATGTCTTCAAGATGCATGATCTTGAGACAAGGTAAAGACACAACAAACTTTGGATTGTCAAGCCCTACATTTACGAGTTTTAAAGACACCAACGTCTTGCTCTTGAAAATGTTGGAAGGCATAAAATCAATGGTCATTGGAGCATTATTCGTGGTCGTAACATCTAGATGCTGAATACCGCGATCAACAACTGTAGCGATCCACGGCACAAATCTGTCGCTTAGATAATAATAATAATATGGTTCATTTTCATACTTTAACTTGAACTTTTGTAGGCGTCCGCTGTTAACCTCAAGAAACTTGTCCATCAAGCTCCCAAATAATACTCCATGAGCAGGGAAGTCAAATAAATTTAGGTCAAGCCCAGGTACCTTAAGCCAGATGTCTCTCCATCTGCTAGATAAAACGCTTGTCCTAATAGATTCTTCTATGTGAAGGTACATGAGTATATGATTTAGCAAACCATCCGGCAATTCGCTTATTCTATCGCGCCCCATCACTAAATCATAAACAACAACAACATCAAAATCCAAAATCAGATCCAATGCATTGAGAGTTTCTCAATTTTTATATCCCAAAATCTAGGGTTTAATCACTGTAAACGTACATTCGAGGAAGGGAGTGAAAAACTTACCGTCGATTTGGTCTGAGGGCAGATAATCGCCAGAGATCTTGCTTCAGGGTTGAGCAAATGTTAAGTGACAATTAAGGAGGAAAATGAATCGACGACATATGGTGGAACAAATATCTTGGGAATATATGAGCGGATTTTCACAAATAAATATCTTGGGAAAATTCTATTGGCATTTTTCGTCCTCTTCAATTTTACGGTTTTAACCAAACCAAACCAAACTTAAACCGAAAATTTAATAAAAATTACAACCACACGGATTTTTATGCTAAACCATAACCAAACCATTTATTTTGATTCGGTTCGGTTTGATTTTTTTTTATTTCGTTATTTTGTTCACCTTAGGGGTGTCAAAATGAGTCAAGATTCATGGGTCAACTCAACCCATAAACTCTAATGAGTTGAAACTTTAGACTCAAATGAGTTGATTGATTAAATGAGTTATTGAGTCAAATGAGTTGATAGATGAAATGAGTTGAGTTGTAATGGGTTAATGGTTTACCCAATTAACCTATCAATTTTTGTTAAATTAAATCAAATCAATTCAAATCTCTAAACTAATACTCCCTCCGTTTTCGAATAGTTGTCGTTTTAGAGAATTTTTTTTGTTTTTAATTAGTTGTCGTTTTCAGTTTTCGATGCAAAATTTATTACTTTTTTATTTTTTATATTTACTTTTATTATGCAACTTGATTTACTATTGGTTAAATTATGTTTAGATAGATAATTAATGATATTTTTATATTGAAAAACTAACAACATTAATAATTTCTTAATTTGTGTACATATAGTTAAAACACAACTATTCGAAAACGGAGGGAGTATCAATTTGAGTCTAACCAAAACTTCTAAACCGATTGAATATAATCCTTAATTTTCCTGCCAAAAAGGTGAATACATAATTTTTCCGCCAAAAAACGTAAATCCCCAATTTTTCCTCCAAAAAAGTTCACAATTTTCCCGCCAAAACGTGAATCTGTAATTTTTCCCGCCAAAAACGTAAATCCGTAATTTTTCCGCCAAAAATATAAATCATTTAAAGAAACAAACTTGATATAGAAATTTGTTACAAGTTTAAGTTATGTTATGTGAGCTTTGTATAATACTGTTGGCCAAACAAAATAATGAAAATCCTACATCGAAAACAAACCATAGTATGAAACAAACCATGCTTCCAATTGGATAATTTATTTCACTAAGCTTTTTCTCCCAAAGATCCTACATATATAGGTCATCCGCCATTTGATATTGATAACTTTATCACTATTGTTGTTTCGAAACCCTTGTTGGGTGTCAATGAGGGGTAACCTGCCCCACTTAGCATGCTCTGCTGTGCACCCGATTTTTTGTGCGGGTTGTGCCGGTCCCGTAGTTTTTAAATATGATAACCCTAACCCGCCCTACTTTGTGATCTCGAGTTTTGCAGTATGTCTGCGGATTAACTTATGCATATAAAAATAAAAATAAAATTCAACAAAAACAACCTTAAACACATAAAAACGATAAAATACATAATTCATATACTGCTAAAATTCTCGAATCATTTAAAGAAACAAACTTGATATAGAAATTGGATAAACTTTTCACTTTAATCAAAGAATTACCACCAATCCCAGCTAAATGAAGATACACTTAAGTTTTTAACTAGTTTATACATATATGGCTGGGCTTATTTATTTATCACAATTTCATAGGACTTATTACATAATTCTATCAGTTTTATGATATTTTGTCTCATAATGGGCTAATCAGTAATGCTTTTTTGAGATTATATATATGCATAACCGATCATTCCATGACGGAGCGGTTTATGCGCGGCCTACTAGTTTAAAGCCCGCATTGACACCCGAGAAAAAGGAATAAGAATTAGGCCTATGTTCCATTATCTTTTGAAGTATCATACATAAAACACAAACACAAACGCGAACCCATGACCCAGATTAATACTCGTCATAATTCAATTTCTCCATTGGTGAAGATTCAACGTAACAACTAATAAGTATTAAGAAAAGAAGTAAAGCTCGCTTGTATGTATCTAATTTAAAATTATACACACTAATCTGGTCTTCTTTTTCATTTTGTTTTGATAAAGAAATGCAAAGTTTGGGTTTCAAACCCGAGATATGATATCAATTACAACTCAACATTGCCCACACAGTTGTGGTAAGGTGGTAGTTGAGAATTGGGGAAAGGTTTGAAGGAACTAATTCAGGTTCGATCCACGCTGGAAACAAAAAACACATTTGTATGGAAAGTCTGGGCTTGAGCCAAAAAGCCCAAGCAGTTTACCTGGTAGTCCATTAACAGGCGATCTGGTTACCTCTGGCATTAGTCGGAAAACATTCCAAACTCGGGACAAGCAGTGTGGTGGCCTTTCGGGGAGTAATACACTCTGAAGGACTTCAATGCGTTTCTACCAGAACTGACCGGATCAGCCGATAGGGTTTATCCAAAAAAAAAAAATTACAACCCAACATGTGACCACTAGACTACGACAATATACTCACTAATCTGGTTTTCTAAAACGTAGTATCAGAACCTTTAAAACTTAGAATGAGTTTCTTGAGAACTGCTGAATCAATTCTACAAATACCTCACTAGTTTTGTCCTTTAGCAAAAAAAAAACACACAAAAGATTCAAAAATAGACACGAGGCACATAGCTAAGTTCAGCTACCAAAGTCCTACAAATAAAAACGAAAGAAAAACGATGTTCATAGGCGCAAACAGATTCATGAGAACAAGCATAACCACAACGATGGAGGCTGCTCTTTTTTATATGCAGAATAGAAAACAGAGGCGTTTAGGGTTTTAAAAGTCTCACACGTGACCACACGTGTTACCAATCTCATTAGTGTCTCTGAGAGACTCTACTTCAACCCAACCCTCCGACTTTAACCCTTTTAAGCTGAAATACTCTGCTTCTTCTAGAGGCTTTAAAACACTTCGCCATTCTTCTCTTACACTAAGAGCTCTTTCAGAGTCTGAGACCTGACACGCAGAACCACCACATTGTCATCAAGATTCATGACACAACAAACTTGTACGTTTTCAAGAACATGACAGCCCGAGACGAGCTTCCCCACTATCGAAGGATCTTGGCACAACAAGCTGGTACGATTTCAAGTTTAAAAGACAACAATGTCTTGCTGTTATAAATGTCACAATAACGATCAATAGACCTAACCACTGTAAGATCTTCAAGAACATGACAACTTGAGATGAGGTTCTCCACAGCCAAAGGACCATCGTTACCACAAAAAATGTTTTCCAAATGCATGATCTTGAGACAAGGTAGAGAAACAAATTAAACACTCTGGATTCACAAGCCCTACGCGTACAAGCTTTAATTGGAGCATCAATCTCAAACACATATGCTACACAATCCATTTTTCTGTTCAGAGTTTGAAACTCACACAAAAAGCTCTTTTAGAGTCTGACAGCTTACACTCTGAACAAGATTCCTTACCACAGTCAGATTTTCCATTATTAACACAACAGCCTGAGACAAGGACAACGTTTTCCTTTATTAGGATCTTAACAACAAACTTGGTACGTTTTCAAGTTTAAAGGACAACTATGTCTTCCTGTTATAAATGTATGGCGGCATGAGATGTCTAATATAAAGCACCACACAGCTGTCGATAACCAGATGTTGAAGACCAAGATATTAATCGTCAGGGATTCGAAGAGTAAGTTTAATGTCTACACTGATCTTCCATTAATGCTAATCTGACATTTGTGAGAACGATTTGTGAATGTAAGAAGCTCCTTGGAGATATCTGAAGCTTGGTTGATTGTAGGAGAATCTCTAAAACGCATATTGAGTTTCTTGAGAACTACTGAATTCTCAAGAAAGTATTTCACTAGTTTCTTCCCAGTCTGTTCCTCCAACATCAGTTCTTTAATCTCAACACACTCCAGATTCAACAACAGACACGGAGGTACATATTTAAGTTCAATCTGCTCTGGCCCTGTCGAAACAACAAAGTCCTACAAATAAAAAGGAAAAAAAAAAAAAAGGCTGAGTTTACAATACAACAATGTTCTTTCTTATTAAGCAAAATAATAGGCTCTTACCAAGATGAGATATTTCAGATTCGGACAGCTCTCAAGAAAGACTGTCAAGAATTGTAACATGGAGCTAGAGATTGAAGCCTCTAAACGATACAAGTTATCGAATTTGGGAAACGGTCCCAATTTGGAATATCGATAGAGGATCTACAAGAAGAAAAAGGACAAGATATATCATAATAAAAACTTCTGGATGATCATATGTATATCAAAAGAGAACATACCTTCAGAGTCCGGTGAGAGATGATCATATGTCTTACACTAGATATCCCCGTTAAAAAATCACGGATAATATCTCTCTTGCTTAAATCCCCGGGTAACAAACGACTGCCATAGTTAACATTAAATATGGTGTCAATGTCGATCATGAACAAGGACCTCAAATTCTTCGCCACAATCCTATCAGATTGATTATCTCTGATATTCATATACTTAAGTTGTGGAGCATCAATCTCAACCGTAATAGCTTTACCAAGATCTTGAAACCCATACGTAAAATGAAAGCTCTTCAGAGACTGAGACCTCACACGCAGAAGCTGCAAAACTTCTAGTCTATTATAATAAATAGACTTAATAAAGGTAAGCTCTTCAAGGACAGGACAACCAGAGATGAGTTTCTCAATAAACAAAGGATTATTATGACAGTACAAAACGTTTTCAAGATACATGGTCTTGAGACAAGGTAGAGAAACAACAAACTCTGGATTCTCAAGCCCTACGGCTACAAGCTTTAAAGACACCAATGTCTTGCTCTGATAGATATTATGAGGCATATTATAAAGTAGCAAGCTCTCAACACTTAGATGTTGAATTCCCCTATCTACCGCGGGACCGATCCACTTCATGAATCCACAGTAATTATAGATGTTTCCGTGATACTTTATCAAGAACTTTTTCATTCGTAATGTGTGACTGAACTCCATAAAATTGTCAATGAAGCTCACAAGGCATTTGGAGGCAGGAGGTAATTCATCATTGACGGTGAAGTCAAGTCCAGGAACCCTAAGCCAGAGATTTTCCCATCTCTTCGATAAAACGCTTGTCGTGACGGAAACTTTGGTAGGAAGGTATGAGAGTATTTGAGTTAGCAGAGAATCCGGCAATTCGCTGATTCTATCGCAATCCATCACGACAAATGAAACCCTAGTTTTCGAAAAATAATTAACATCAAAAGTCTTTTTGGATCATAAGGTTAAGATACAAGTCATTAAAATCACTTACTTAAACGTAAAATCGAGAGAGAGAGAAAAATCTGAGTCTCTAAATCTCACCGTCAATTTGATTCGCCGTCGGATTGTCCGCCGAAGTGACGACTGAAAATTAAGGAGAAATTCCAACTTTGTGAAATGAATCAACACAAAACGACGTCATTTCGAGGAAAAGGGAAACCTTTTTTCTTACTCGTAACGTAATTATCTAATTTCAGTCCTTACAAGAAAGACACATTTGTTCCAAATATTTTCAGAAGTTTTAATTACAATATAACTTTACTAAAAAAATTAATTTCAATTTGCAGGTCATAATACTTTCAGATGGAGCTTGATTTGAAGTCAATTAAGATTTTTGATAAGTTCGAAATATGTTCTTGGTTGGTCTGAAGAAAGTGAGATAAAGTCTTTGCTGTCTTCAGATCATTAACTATGTTTATATCTACTTGGCTTTATCTGCTTCTAAGAAAGTGAGATTCAGATCCTATCACAAAGATCATTTCTTAGACTCATAAAGTTACACAAAAAGCTCTTAATTATAGTCTAATGGAGGGGTTCTCAAAAATTAATAAAATACAAATATTTGATGGACTTGTCAACTATATATAGAACGATCCATTCAATATTTAACTAAAATTTTTATTTTAATAATTCTTGAGAAATCGTCGTCATACTATTGATGGAGGCGTTCTAAGAGATGTCACCGCACTTTTTGTTTCAGACTTTCATCTAATAAAGAAGATTTTCAGGTATTTAAGAGAACTATTCATATGGGAATGGACCTAGGAAGCACGGAAGCTTCATCGGACGTCCGCTTCCCGCTTCGGAATCTTAGTCGGAATCGGAAGCTTTCGGAATCTCGCTTCCATAACGCTTCTAAAAAATTCATTTTGGAAGCTCCTTGGAAGCTTACGATTCTATTTTGGAAGGTTGCGATTCTATTTAAAAAATTTGATGTCACAAAATAAATAAGAAATAAGAAATTATTTTTGATAGTTTTTTTATACAACAAAAGAAAAACCAAAACTAATTTTGCATACTAATTTTGTATTTTATTTTTTTAAATATCAAAGTTAGAAAAATGATAGCAGCATGGATCATTTATTAGGAAGATGTTGAAATGATTAATTGAATTAAATTAATTTCGAGAAATTTGAGTTTGATGATGTTTTTATTGGTAAAAAAAAATTTAAAACAATTTTATTTGATGGAATTAGTAAAATGAGAATGAAGAATGATCTTAAATTTTTTACTTTGAACTATTTGACTTTTCTCTATTGTAAACGTACACTATTTGATTTTTAAATATAGAGAGATATTTAGAATTTATGTATTAGATTTCTATGTTAATTATAAATTTTTATATGATATAATGTTTAATGTTTATTATATATATATATATATATTAATTTTTATATACGCTTCCAACACGTACCCAATTTCTATAATTTCTATAAAATCGCTTCCACGTTTCCAAACGCTTCGCTTCCGCGTACCCGCTTCTGATTCCATGCAACCTAGGAATGGACTATATTTTTCATGTATGTAGGCAGTGACATAGACTCTATTCTTCATTTATGTATACAGTGACAATGATTGATCATGTCACTGGACTCTATTCTTTATGTATGTAAACAGTGACGTAGACTCTATTCTTTATTTATGTATACAGTGACAATGATTGAACATGTCGTAAGAAAAAAAGAAAGATCGATGTCTTTGCGCATCTGTCGGTTCTAGAGCGTCGGTAAAAAAAATCTGTCAATAATTTATCAGTAACTACTGACGGATTTCTGAGGAACTTATTACCGACGGGTTACCAATAACTTATCCGTTGGTATAAAATCCTCGATAATCCATTGGTGATGTTTTTCCGATGGATTACCGATGGTTTATCGGAAACGAAATATCCAAATTTCTCCGTCATAACTAACAGATTATTGAGAGATTTTATGGGAAAAAAATATCCATCATAACCGACATATTACTGAAGGATTTTATGAAAAATTCTCAAGGACTTTCATAAAGCATGTCATATATTGATTCATACATTTAAAGTTAATAATTCATTTATAAAATCTTCGTTGAAAACAACTACCTTCTTTTTCTCTTAATTAAATAAAGAGATGATCCAGCAATACAGCATTAGTCAAAAACAAAAATAAAGAGCCTAAATGTAGTTGTCAGATGAGAATAGATAATTCCTACACTAATAAACATGCGCGACACTAATGGCTCGAGCAGATGTGATCACCAGCATCATTAGCTGCATGTCAATCAATGATAACTTGACATGTAGGAGAAAGCTTTGTGGATGTAAGACGCTTCTTGTAGCTCTCTAGCTCTATAGAAGAAGAATCTGTGAGATTAGAGTCAGTTTCTTGAGGATTGCTGAATTCTCAAGAAAGTAATTCACTAGTCTAATCTCACTTTCTTCCTTCATTAGCAGTCTGTTTGTAACGCCCCGACCGTCATCTTTTTTAATGGTCCCTACGTCCTCTCTCAGGCCCATGGGCCCATTCCTGTCTGACGGCCGGTCCGCTACGAGGCTTTAAAGACTTGTTTACCGACCCTACAAATCACCACACGATCTTTCCCTGTGTTTTGTCTACACTCACACAGTTCCGACAATCACTTCCCGGAAGGTCATCCTGTGTTTGGACTTCTTTGTAAGTTTTTGTTGTAACTAGGTTGTTTTGTTGGACTTGTAAATTTTCATTTAATAATTTTAAATTAATCAAATTTTGATTTGAACCTCAAACGTCGATTTTCTCAAACAACACAACACACTCTCGGGAAGATGAACTTTTCTATATTCCCGATAAAATATTTTCCTCGAAATTCACTCTCTTCTTCTTCTTCCTCTGATATTGTATTTGTATACCTCTCGAAGCTCTTTCTTCAACTGAAGAATCATTGAAGACGAAGAAGAAGAAGGAATAAAAGATGAAAGAGAAATTAAACCCCAAAATCAGAAAACCCAATAATTCATCTTCAAAGAAGGTCACAGTTTCGTTTCTCTCTGTTTTCTTTGTTTTCGTCTTCGTTAATACTTTCTTCTATCCAAGTTTTTACTCTGATTCTGGCTCAATTCGTCGCAATCTCGTCGATTCTCGAGAAAGTTTTGATTTTCCTGAAAAATTGCGTAAAACGAAGGTTTACATGTACGACTTGCCGACGAATTTTACTCACGGAGTTATCCAGCAACACGGAGGAGAGAAATCTGATGACGTAACCGGGTTGAAATATCCGGGTCATCAACATATGCATTAGTGGTATCTTTATTCAGATCTTACTGTTAAGTTTCATGGGCTTCCAACTCAAAACCAATTGGCAATGAGTGGATTGGACTAAGTCCCTTATATACTACTCAAGTCCCTTCCCATCTTTCTAATGTGGGATCTTTCTCCACACGCCCCCTCGAGATAATGGCTCTTCTAGCCATTAATCTCGACAGAATCCATCACGCCGCATCGAGATAATGCTCTACTAGTTATCTCAACAGAATTGAGCCTTCCTTTGGGCTATCAATTAGTGGGGGTGATCGACCCACTTTCAGGGCAGGATTAATGGGTCAGCGCGTATGGATCGGGCTCTGATACCATGTTAAGTTTCATGGGCTTCCAACTCAAAACCAATTGGCAATGAGTGGATTAGCCCAAGTCCCTTATATACTACTCAAGTCCCTTCTCATCTTTCCAATGTGGGATCGTTCTCCACACTTACCCGACCCGAAATTGAACGGGTCGGGTCTCCGATTGTCAGGGTTTTTGACCCTGCTGAGGCAGATTTGTTCTTTGTTGCGGCTTTCTCCTCTCTAAGCTTGATTGTGAATTCGGATCGACCCGAGTTCGGATCCGGGTTTGGGTATAGTGAGGAGGTGATGCAGGAGAGTTTGGTGAGTTGGTTGGAAGGTCAAGAGTGGTGTAGGAGGAACAATGGGAGGGATCATGTGATTGTTGCGGGTGACCCGAATGCGTTGAACCGGGTTATGGATCGGGTTAAGAATGCGGTTTTGCTTGTGACGGATTTAGGTTGGTTTAGAGCTGACCAAGGGTCCCTTGTGAAAGACGTAATAACACCTTATTCTCATAGGGTTGATGCTTATGAAGGCGAGCTTGGAGTTAAGCAGAGGAACAACTTGTTGTTCTTTATGGGAAACTGATATCGCAAAGATGTAAGATTTAACTAATGATCTCTATTATTCGTGATCTTGAATTAGTAAAGGAGTTTTTGAAGTCAAGTACTTTTGAGTAAGATACAGAGAAACCAGCCATAATTTACTAGGTAGTGTTCTTGTTTATGGATTGGCATTGAATGTCAAATATGTTAAATTGTGAGAGATTATCGAAAAACTGCAGAAAGGCGGAAACTTTGCAGATGCTGATTTTGACTCTATGTGCTTTGTTGTGTTTGTTTGACAGGGAGGCAGAGTCCGAGATTTGCTTTTCAAGCTTCTTGAGAACGAAGAGGATGTTGTTATCAAACACGGAACACAATCAAGAGAGAATAGGCGTGCGGCTAAACAAGGAATGCATACGTCTAAGTTTTGTCTACATTCAGCTGGTGATACTCATTCAGCTTGCAGATTATTTGATGCCATTGCCAGTTTATGTGTCCCTGTGATTGTAAGCGATGGCATTGAGCTACCTTTTGAAGATGTTATAGATTACAGAAAGTTTTCTATATTCTTGAGGATGCCGCTTTGAAACCGGGGTTTGTGGTTAAGAAGCTGAGAAAAGTGAAACCAGAAAAGATATTAAAGTACCAAAAGGCTATGAAAGAGGTAAGAAGAGTTTCTTGATTTGTCTTCTGAAAGTTCCTTTGGATCTATTGAAAAAAAATGTAAACTTTATGGACTTGATTTGTGTAGGTTAGGCGATATTTTGACTATACGCATCCAAATGGAAGTGTGAATGAGATCTGGAGACAAGTTACCAAGAAGATACCACTAATCAA